ACTGCTGAATGTCTGCGACATGGAGTGTGCAGAACTTGAGGAGGTCCATCTGCTAAGGGAAATAATCCTGTGTCATTGCAAAATATGTTTCTGGGTGTACGTGTATTTCTCTGTGCTCCTTCTTTGTCATGATTCCTCGGTTTAATTTAAATACATGTTTCACTTCTCTCCATATTTCAGGTTTATTGCAGAGTATGAAAATCAGGAAGCTTTTTGTTCACTTCATACATTTCTTCCAACAAAGCCAGACATCCGAACCCGGCACAGACTCCAGAGTGATTATTGTTACACATGATCTATGGAGCAGATACATTACAACTTGATTTTTATAAGGTATATTGAGCCTGCAGGCTTCAGCAGAAACAAAAACAAAACAAAACTCAAAACCTTGGTTTAACTAGTAATTTGAGGAAATATGACAAACCTGACACGGAAGTCACAGAGCAAATAAATATGCACATCCATCATTTTGTGAAATAATGCCTTCGCTAGAGAGACCTCTGCTTGCTGCAGTCTGCAGTGTAAAATTTCTTCATGGTTTACTGGCCTCAGATCCTACTACACAGAGAATCAAGTTAGCTATAGTTGAAAGAAACAATTCTGTGTAAGAAAAACAGTGTTGTGCAGTAAAATAGTGCACATATCAATCACGTGAGTGAAAACTAAGTTGGTTTTCGGATATATTATAATATTCTTGGAATGTTAGAGGTGTTTTTTATTCACAGGCTAAAATGATTGGAGGCTCTTTACCTTTATTGTGAAATAATCCAGTTCCTAGAAATAAAATCACCCAGTGGTTATTGCAGATAGAAAATCCTACTTCATACAAAATACAACAAAAGGCAGTTTCAGAGTCACCTTCTGAGCACAATAGTTTTGTTGGTGCACTGGAAAGGAATAACACACACAATTCTCCCTTCAGGAAGTGGCTTTTGGTACCAACTCTTTTTTTTTTTTTTTTTTTTTTTTTTTGTAGCTTGCCAACAGTTGGAAGGTTTTGTGTGAAACTAAAGAACACCATCAGTGTCCTTTGCATGAGATCTGCCCCTCAGACTGTCCCCTGCCTGCAGATTCAGGAGCTGCAGTTATCCCTGAGTTGGAGTTCACAACACAGCAAAATTTACCCTCTCAAAGAGGAGGCTGTGGTTTGGGCACTGACAGGGATGTAGCCTTTGACACCTGGAGGAGGGTTTTACTCAGAGTTTAGGGGTTAAATCCAACAATTTATGTCAAACTGCTTCTGGATAAAGCACAAAACAGAGCCAAAATGCTCCACTCCTAAAGAAGTGTCTTTGTCAAAGCCACAACTCTTTTCATGCTCCATTCCTGCTCCAGCATGTCCTTAGAGATTTCCCCATTTCCAGGGATGCTTCTTGGAGAAGCAGGATGGAGAGGAGCCAGGTCATCCCCACACATAACCATGCAAAATGCACAACACCCACAGCCCAGAGAAGGAGATGCTGCCCCAAACAAAGATGTGGGTCTGGGACCTCCCAGGTAGCACAAGACCTAGATCTGTGCTCTGTCTCCACTTTCAGAGAAATTCCAGTGCCTGGAAGAGAGTGGAAGAGCCTTTGAGTGCAAATTCCCAATGGGTCACGTGTAAAAACCACAAATTTAGTGGCTCAGCCACACCAGAACTGCTGTAAATCTGAGGATACACAGAATTACTGCTGTGGGTAGCAGAGAGCTCTAACACCAAAGATGGAGTGCCAAAAAACGAAGATCAATATATCAAATAGGTCTATAAGATGTATAGGTCAATAGCAAACAGATCAGGAGGAAGGGCTGAAGTCCCTTTTGAAGTGCTGATCTGACCCATGGAACCTGGCTGGGAAGTCTGCAGGAAAGTGTCTAAACTGGACCAGGCATCTGCATCTTCCACTCTTAACCACAAGATTGTCCTAGATGCACAGCAAAGACAGCGGTCAGAAAAATAAGCCTAAGTTTGACCTCTACAGAAGCTGTTTTAACCTGATCTTGTAAGTTTTGGTACCTAGATATGACCCTGTCTTGGTCTGATCCTGCAGTTCTTGGCCAGGCAAACCTTACTTGGATCATGGTTTATATGAAGGGCCCATCATCTGCTTCCCTGTGTCTCCCAAGCTGCACCTTGCAGTTTAAAAGCCAAGTGCACGTTCACTCCTCTTAGCATTGCAAAGCCAAAATGACTGGTTTATGCTTCATCCATAAAATTGCCAGCTAAATATTCATTCTGGAGCCATTAGTCCAGGTGTTTGTCAAGGAAGATGTACAAAGCAGCCAGAACATGTTTAGCATTTCATGCACCAGGCTGAGCTGCAGGAGTGACAGGTTGAAAAATCTTGTTTGGACTCATAGACTGAAACCGTTTAATATAGAAGTCACTGGTGGACTATAAATATGGAAAGCCAGTGTGCCTCATTTTTATAGAATCCCCATTCTGCATGTCTTTTAAACATATTGAAACTTCAGAGAAGCTATAGAAGTTAAACTCACCAATTTTTGCTTCAAACATTTACAGTTCTTCAATGAAGGAACCTTCAGAAGCTCAAATGCCTGGACAAAATACACTTTATTTGAATGTGCACTTAGATTAACTGATCCCACAAAAGCCAACTCTGTTCATTTAGGCCAGGAATTACCCAATTTGCTCACATAATCTCAGCAATTACATGTTCATCTTTTTTCAAATATCAGACCTATGGTGTGATTTACGTGGTATGTGATCTTTTAACTTAACCTCAAAGATATTAATCTTTATTAAAGGGTATGAGAGGCAAAGAGGGGGAAGAGAAGGCGGTGACAGATACTCTGACAGCGAGGAAAAGTCATTTATAAAGTGAACATCAGTAAACATTAGGAGTGACATATTGATATCAGCAGCCAGGAAATGGCTGGCCGAGCTAGGATGAGGAATTACACTTTAAATTGTGGCAACCATATTTTTTTCCCAAGGTTGATCTTTTATATTTTTTAAAGAGAAATTTACTATTATGCCTCCTGCTTCCCCTATGGTAAAATGGCAGAAATTTGACTGAGATTTACTTAAAGTGACAGCAACGCCCCATTTTGTCCAAGAAAGATGATCACTAAATGTCATGTCTATCTACTCTCATGTGGATCACTTATTTGACATGTTCATGTCTCAGCTTCATAGCAGTTTGCAGCATGTTTCCTGGTGCTCTGAGGCAGTCTGGAATCTTTGTGGTGAAAGCCTGAGCTGGCCAAAGGCAGTTCATTAAAATAAATAAATAATGTGGTTGGGATTCCATTGCAAGGGTGTCAGGCCAGAAAAAGGCATAAAAAGCCTCACAAAACCAGACCAAGAGCGTATGCTTCTGGTCAGGCTGCCAGAAGGCCATGCTGGTGGGATGCTCTTGCCATCTCAGCTGAAGTTGAACCACAGCAAAAAGCAAATATTGGTGTTTAAATACAGAAAATAACCCCATACTCTTTCATTTATTTTTTAGGAAATCTGGAAAATGGCACACTCTGAACCAGGGCAGAGTGTGCATTTTCCCACTTTGCTGAATTCCTGCAGGGAGAGATGCAAAACCCAGCTGGATGTGAGGGAACCATCAGCACGAGCTCCTGAGGTGGGGAGCCCATTTAAATCTCCTTTGCTGAGCCTCAGATGTGACCCAAGCAAAGCAGAATGGAAAGCGAGGCAGAAAGGCTTTTTGCACAAAATGGAACAGTAGTCATGAATAATTAATGGATTTCTACCTTCTTTGCCATTTTAACTTGTCTTCCTTAGTACTTATTGCCTTCCAGTCCAGAAATGTGTCTGTAGATTAAATCATGCATGTTTGGCAGCAGCAAGGCAAGAATTAAGGTGTGTGCTGGAGATGCAGCCTCCCACCAGATCCAACCTGATTCAGCAGTCTCCCAGCCAGAGCCAGGGAATGCTCTTGCACAGATCCAAGCTCTGGGAGCCTCTCAGCAAGGCCAAAAGCTCTTTTTCCCATTTCTTCTAAAAATTTCTATAAGCCCTGTCCAAATAAAGAAGTTAATAATCACAGAAAGTTCATAAGATCTGAATGCAAGGACATAAATACATGTCATGAGAAGGACACACCTTTGGTTTGTTCCAGCACCAGAGGTTCACAGATTGCCATATATTTATTCATTTTGGGGTGCAAATACCACAGTCATGAAATACAGTGAGAATATTTAGTCCTGGCTTATCCTGTTGACTGCCCTGTGCTATCAGTGCAGTCATACCCTCAGTCAAGGGTGTTTCATCAGCCAGTCTAAGGGAGGCTCTGTAAAACCCCAAGTTTTTCTCTCAGACTTTCCCTTTGATGCCCAGCTGCCAGCTCCCATGTGGGCACTCACCTCAGACACAGTTTAACTCCCAGAAAACCTGCAGGAGCAGCAAAACCAGCTCAAAATGCATCCTATGTAATAAGCAAGGTGGTTTTTTTTTGGTTTTTTTTTTTTTTTTAGTGTATGGTGGAAGATTAAAGCCATTCTAAATGAAAGAAGAGTGTGTAACAGGGTACAAGATTTCTAAATAGGTGGCACATGTCAGCAGGCATTACAAGAGTGTCTTTAGGTGAGCCTTTGATATCGACTGCTGAATAGTTCATTCTGAGAGATGCTACCAAGCAAGAGTTTCACTGCCTTGATTTGTTTTCCAGCTAAAATAAATCTGAATAGAATAGACTTAAATTACCTGTGATTTTTCTGTCTTTAAAAGGACACATAAAAGCTCACGAGATCACTGCGCTCCCCGGGGAATAAAAAAAAAGGGAATGGGAAAAAGAAACCAGGAAAACCATGAAAGATTCATTTTAATGGAATCCAGGTTTAGCTGTTTCATATTTAATAATGTTTAATATTTCATTTACTACTGGGGACTCACCTTTTTCAGAAGAATGTAAGATTCAAGGCACTATTGTGCATTAAGATTTTATGTCTGACTGTAGCAATATTATAAGGGTTGGCATTGGAGCTGCTCAAGCCTTATGCAGAAAGCCTGGAAGCAACAAGGTTTTCTTTCTTTTTTCCTACAGCCAAAATAGGAGCTGAAGCCCCAGAAAGTGGTGGGGTAGAGCTGTGAATCCTAGCAACAGGCGGGGAAAGAACTGTACGTTTCCTCACGTCCTCCAAGTGTTGGTGCCTTCTGGTACATCATTGACAGGAAGAGACACAGACCATGGAAAGGCCCTCCTTGCTGATGCATCAAGAAAGGGCACATTTTTTCCAGTGGGATGGGTGAGTTATTGCATTTTGGGGGGAAAAATCAAGCAAAGCAACACCCCACAGTTCATGCTGTTGCTGCTGTTGCACTTCCCTTCATCACAAGGCACTGCCTTTTGGTGCAGGTTTTTTTTTTCCATTTTTCTATGCTCTAAGTCTTTTTTTAAGCCCTTCTCAGTGATAATGTGGGCTTTTCTTTTTAAGTGAATTATGAAAATTTGCACTCAAAAGTGTGAGCTTAGGGTTCTGCCAGAAAAATCCATCATTCTGTGGCCTGCAATGAAATCATGGGTGATAAAAGCTACCACCCATGTTCAGCAGAAAGGGAACTGAAACCAGAGCACTTTTCCTGGAAGAGGAGGCTCCTGTTAAATATGCAGCAGTCTTGTCTTGGCAATATTAAACTAGCTTTTCTTCCTAAAGAACCTGTCAATACAGTTTGACCTCTCTCTGTGGATATTCTTCAGAGACTGAAGCACTCAGATAATCTGAAACAGCTCCCCAGTATCATCCCAGAAAAAGTCACAGAGCCTTGGACAAAGAACAAGGTGGGATTCCAGACTCCTTGGTCCCATCACTTTGTTCAGAAATCCACCATTTCCCAGCTGATGCCAATTTCTCTGGGTTTGCCACCAGTTTTGCTCTTGGGAGAAGCTTGCAGACTCTTAGGAGCTTTGCCTGGATGTAAGCTGTGGGAAGAGGGGCGTGGAGAAGAGCTGGGGTTGTGTAACATGGCCTGCTGCTTCTGTTAAAAGAATAAATCTGTGGAAAGCAGCACTAGTGGGTTGTTGCCTTGGACTGGACCAGCTGCTGCAAGGATGAAGCACAGCCCCACACAGAGGGCTGCAGCAGAATAGAAGGATTTGGCTCCCACAAGGAGGGTCCTACAATCCCTTCTGCCTTTTGGGACATGTCCAAAATTCACCCCCTTTCTGGAGCAACTCCCTTCAAAATTTTCTAAAAAGATTCCGTGCCAGTAGAGGGAAAGTTTCTTGTATTATTAGGAGTTTTTTTGCTCGCAATTTCAGTCTCAGACCTCATTGAAGGGCTCTGGCATTTGCATAACTTCCCACGGAAACTGAATCAATGTTTGACATCATGGAACAGAATCTCAGGCGTGATTTAGCATTAGTAAGCCACCAGTCATCAGCACACTGTCATTCCCCTATAGCTGACATCTTAATAGAGTCAGCCTCATGCACACACATGTTCACCAGCAGCAAATTCTTCTCTGGCCATGCAGGAGCTTTTCTTTTAACATGGGCTTGCACACATGAACATCCAAAAGACACTGGTCCAATATGATCAATTTTCAGGGCTCCAAATGCATTTTCCCTTTAGGTAAGAAGGCAATTTTAAGTCCTCTTAAATAATTGAAGATACTCCTGATACAATCAAAAGTCAAGCTCCCCAAGATGAAAATGTCTGGATGATGAATAAGTTAATGGAACTAAAATCCCAGTCGTGGCTGATTAGGGGACCAGGAGAGTTTATCAGAGATGGGAATGTACAAGTCCAGTCACAGCCTGACCTTGTAACGAATGAGAGCTGAAAAGCAATTAATTGAGAAATTATCAGGGAAAAGAGAAGTTGTATGGTTGGTTAGCTAAAGCAATATGTCAATGGGCCAGGGATTGATTTGCCTGGAATACCTCAAGGTCTCTGTTCTGATGATTCAGGACTTGAAGGAACTGGCCCGAGCCAAGCAATAAAAATAAAACAGGGTCAGGAGAGGGAGTCATCAGTCAGCACTGGAGATCATGTATTATTTAGCTGGTAGTTAAGGGAAATTATCAAACAGGAGCAGACTTTAAACTCAAATTTTTCCCCATGAGAGGGGAAATGAAGGGAGAGAAAAGAAAATGTTCCTTTGTACCGATGCTCACTGTCCTCATCTCAAACACTGAGCTTGGGAGCTGGGTCCTGAATGTTCACAGAGAGGGATGACCAGTCCTGACAGTGGGCATCATTTATTGCTGAGGTATTTCCTCCTTTCCTACTGCCAACAGGATGCACAGGACCTCTGCTCCCACCTCCTGCAGACACCAGGACCTGCCCCAGGCCCCCAAACTAACAGTGACCCTCTGCCCACTTGAACCTTGATTATTTAAACTCATCCACACATCAGCTTCCCACATCCTACACGTTTGGGAAACTCTTGGTGGGACCACAGCTGTGCATGTTGATCTGAGCTGCAAAATGTGTCTGCAAACAGAGTTCTGCTCCTTCAAAGATGAGTATGAAACACCTTGAATGAGACTGTAGTATGCTGTAGCTCATGAGAGCAGCAAAGCAAATGAGAACAGCAAAACAAATTATATATAAAGTCTTCTAGAACGATCAGTGGGTTGGGTGCGAATAGCTATGTCTTGTCTTGTGACAATTCACTAAATAACTCTAAACTCTGTCTCTCCCTTGCGGAAGAAAGAAGAAAGCTCCCACAGAAACAGCCAGTGCATGTTTCATGGCAAGGTCAGGGCCTCAGACATCACAAACTCTTCCTTTTTGGGATCAAGATCCTGAGATGCTGCAGAAAAATGTTTGTTGGAAACCTGCAGCTAGCTTTCCCATCAGGACAACACTTCAAGTTCTGTTTATTTTTGTTTTTTAATAGAAAGGCTTTCTAAATACTTCAGATTTGATATTTTATCTTTTTTGTCATGTCCTCCACTAATCAAAATTACAACAAAGCTATGATTTTAGCTTGTTTCATTTCAATACATAATGAATACAAGAAACTCCAATATTTCACTGCAAATAGCCATTGCTGATGCAAAACCAGGTTTCTAGAAGGAAATTCCAACAGCAGCTGTGAGATAAAGGAACAGCTTTATCCCACTGCCTATGGACATATCTGAACACATTTCTGGGACTCACAGCATGTCACGCTCCATGGAATGCATTTTCCATTTGTCCTGACCTGAGAGCTTTGCATTCAAGGAGCAGATCCCCCAGTGAATTCATCAGGAGGAATAATAACCACTGCATGAGCTTGGGCTGCTGGGCCAGCAGATCCATCCTGCAATTGTCAGTGTGCTGAAATTCAGGGTGGTATAAATGCAGCCTCCTTTGATTAGGGACCAGAAGGACACAGCAATATTTTCCCAGTCTATTTTATTGAAATGCAAGAGAAAGGATTATTTTTGGGGATTGCATCACTCCTCTCCTCTGAGGCCAAGCTGCTGCACTGTCTCAGCTCAGCATCTGGGAGTTTAGAAGGTGGTGATGGAGGTGCTGAAATATCCCAGCACTAATCACCTATTATCACCTTACGATAATTTAAAAAGCTGATTCTGAATAAATCCTCTTTGGAGCAGGTCCTTGGCTGGCCCTCTGCTCTGCAAAGTGCAAACACAACCAGCCCCAGTAAAACCAGTGGAATCCCAAATGTGACCTCAGGTTGCATGGAGCAGTTAGCTGGCTATAATCACTGGGATGGAATGAAGTCATTTTGTTCTGCTAGGAATCAGGAGATCTTTTTTTGGATCCACAAAAGTTGTGCTGGACTGCACTCTGATCTCACAAAGCTGGGGGAAATTCATAGATTTGGCCTCTTTATTTTCTTTACTGCTTTCAATGGCAGTCAAAGACTTTCAGTATAGAGGCTGTGATGCTTTAAGAGTGTCACAATGTGGAAGGGCAGGAAAATGCCCAGTCTGGAGTCTGACACAGTTTCCATTGTAAATTAAGTGAAGAAAGCCCAGCAAAGGCATGAAGCAGATCACACCAGCAGTACTTTTGTGTAGCAGCACTGGTGTGAGCTTTTGTGTGCCTGAGCCCTCCCAGGAAGGGGGAGATGGTCAGGTACCTCTGGCTCCAGGTGCCACTGACCCTCATCCAGAGCTCTGAAGGAGTGTGGTGTGTTCCCAGCTCTCACAGACATTTCTCACACAGGTTCAGCTAAACCATTCAGCTCTTCTTTTTCCTCCATGTCTTGTTAAATATGGAATCATCCCATTTTAATTTCCACTCACCTGATGGTGGGTGGGATCACAGTCCACTGGTGCAGAGGGGTGTCTGGGAGCACTGGTGTATTTGCCCACCCCCACTTGCAACAGCAAATTAATTTATATTAGTGATCCTCTGGGGAGAAGGAAGTCATTCAAGCAGGTAGGCTCTGGAGGTCTAGGCTTTAAAATACTGGCTACTGGCCTCAAAAAGAGAGACAGGCTTAGTTACATCTCTACATCCCACATTTGGGCTGGCTGCTGTTGTTGCGAAGGGTTAACAGACACTGCAAAACATTTCTAGGATGAAGTGCTAAGATTTAGTGTACTGAATTAATTCTTAAATTAGAACAGGGGATTTGCACATGATTTCTAAGGGAAATTATCTTCTGGGTAAAATTAATACAGGAGATGTTTCAACATCTGGGATGGCATTATTATGAGCAATGATTACCCAGACATTGCCAAAAGAAAGAGATCACAGTAAACTCTTTCTTTTCCCAAGCAAAGTAAGCTCCTCACCCTGAAGGGGGGAGAGCATTTGCAGAGCCTTGGCTTATTTGGAAATGCACAGGAGGATTCTACGTGAGGAAAAGGCAGCATGCTTTGCTGATGGATGGTTGGGAAACAGAAGTGCAGACAGGGAAGGTTCTCTCTGCAGGTGGGCTCCAGGCACCCCCTGCCTCCCTCTCCTCTGAGCTCCTCATCAAAAAAAGGTGCTTAATGCAGTGCTACAGCTGCCCAGGTGCTCAATGTTGGGAGGTTAAAGAGGAAACACACTGGCAGATGTGACCTGGAAAACCTCCAAAAGGGAGGTTGGTCCTTCTGCTCCCCACCCAGAGACCACAGAACTCATCCAAATGCCTCATCTTCCTCCAGCCCTCAGAGGGGCAGCTTTTCCCTGGCAAAATTTTAAATAGAGCAGAGAGTAAAGCCAAAGCAAGACCTGCATCAAAACAATCACACCCCAGGAGGAGCTCATAAATATTTATTGTCCTTCAGCCTATTTCATTTTGTCAGGAAAAGAGGAGGGCGCTTGAGTGGGAAAAGGAGACCAGTGGCACAGCGCTCCTTTCACAGGGAAAAACACCAATGTTTAATTTAAAAGGGCATAAATATAAGAGAAATGCCTCTTTACTCTCGTGTTAGTAGCTGGCTATTAAATTACATCACAAGTGCTACGTGTGGGACCAGGCGAGTGCATGGTTATTTCCGTCTCTAAACCGGAGTGCAAGTCTCAGCGTAATTACTTTGGATCCAAGTGTAATTACCAACTGATCTGCAGGAACATACACAGCAGTGACATCCATCCCAGGCAGCATTAGAGCCTGATGATAACACAGCATCATTAACACAGCTTAGCGCTTCCCTCCGTGGCTGCAGGCCATGGTGTGCCTCGCAAAGGGCTCGCCCAGGAGCCACCTGAGCTGCTGCCCCTGCCTGTGCAGGGCTGGGAACAAATCACTGCAGACAACGGCAAACATGATACCCTAATCATGGGAAATTAGGCTGGGACAGAGGGGTTTTTCCCCAAGATGCACCCCCTTGTTTTGGTATTTCTGCAACCTGCCCCTGTTTCTTCCCCAAAGTCCATGAGGAGAAGGAGGGTGCTGAGTCCCCCTGGGGTCGCCACCTTTTTGTTTGGCTTTCTTCTGTTTTATTCTGCTTTACTGTGACAGCATCATGCTCAGATTTTGGAATATTTTCTCTAGAGTTCACAGCTCATCTGTTTCCTTTTGGAAGACAGTGGGTATAAGGATTTTCTTTGCTCTATTCTTTATCTTCTTTTTTTTTTTTCCCAAGGCTGAAAGCATCAAAACAAGTAAACAACCTATTTATTCTGATGGTCTTGGAAGCTTTCTCTATACCTCCAAGAAGGTCAGAGAAATGATTCAGAAAGAGAAAAGCAGAGAAAAAAAATCCTTCTTTCTTTTCATAATTGCCTGTTTTGTTACCACACCTTCTTAGTGCTATGATGTTGCAAAGACAATGCAATAGACCAGTGTAGGAATGAAGATGCACAAAAGAAAAGAAAAAACTGATTTATTTATTCAAGTTGGTGTTTGCAGGTACTTTAGTTGTGTCCATTCTAGCTCATAAACAAAAACAAATGAAAATATGATAAAACATAAATTGACATAATTTCCTGTAAGAAGTACAGCACCTAAGATTATGCAAAAAAAGCAAGAAAATATCTCCCAGCTCCTATGGGTAGGATTGCATTTGCTCCCAGCTCAGGGTCAGTGATGGTAAAGTGAGATTGACAGGGTAAGTAACCCCTGAAGGAGGTTTTCCATTTTGGTCAGCCCTGCTAAGCCATGCTTGCTGCTTTGAATGAGCTCAGCTGCACAGAGAGATCTTCTTTTTTTTCCCTGATTCTGCTCATGTGCTGGTTTTATCTGAGCAGCTCCGCAGATGTCAGCGAGACACATTTTGTTTTGAGTTGCATCAGCGTAAATCACAACTGATCCAGTGAACTCGGAGATACCCTCCTTGCAGGGAGAGCTGTGACACCAAGAGTTTGGTGCCACGCTATTGTGACAGCTTAAAGCCCCTCCACGAGGAAACAAAGTCAGGCTCAGCTCTGTCCTGGAACACATTACAAAGCATGTTTGTTATTGCACAGAAGACAGCATTTGCCTTGGCTGTGAACAAGAAACCCAGATCTGTAACAGCTAAGATTTCATCTCTACCATTTATCCAATGAGCTTCCCAATCCTCTTGCACAGATAACCTGCTGCTAACATAGCAGTCAAGATCAGAGCACTTAATCAATCACTCACTGAGGACAAATATGCGTAATCTAAATTAGAACAAACCCAGGCATATTTTATATGACAGCCGTACAGATTTTTAAGAAAATGCATTGGCAAGAAAATTGCATGAGAACAAAATTGTTTTGTGTTTATGCTTAAAGTGGTAGATTTCCTAAAAGCTTCTGTGGCATTAGGTAGCCTTGAATATACAGGGGCAAAATTCTGCTTTCACTGCTTTCACTTCCACATTTTCATCAATAAACCAAGGATGCATTTTGTCCCTCTGGCTCTGAAGCAGAAATCCTGCTGCAGACCTCAGTATGATGTAGAGTCCTTCTTAAAAACCTTTCATATTTTATGATCACTGTCGATTCTCTTATGATCAGTGTTGGTTCAAGCTTTCATGAATCAAAAATCAGCTCGTGGAAAGCATCTTAGAGCAACCTATTTGTCTGCAGGTAGCAAAGGAAAGTGGTGCTTTGAAGAATAAACCCCTCTGCCTTCAGAACGAAGCTCAGGCTGCACAGGAGGCTGGAGCGACTTACAGATTCTATTCAGGCTCCTCTCTGGGCATGCTGGGTGACCTTGTGTTCTCCCATTTTCCTCTGGGGGAGATATTATTTATCCCTGATAATAAAACACAGGATTCTTCAACTGCGACTCGTGGTTTAATCTATTGTGTCAACTTACACAAGCTCCCTTGGAAAAAAAGGAAGATCAGAGGCAATAAAAGGAGTAAAAAATGAAGCATCTTTAACTGAAGTCATACAACTTTCATCTGAGGTCAGGCCCACGATGCCCTGACGGTGCAGGGTGGGATCTCCAGAGAGGAGCATCCCAGGGATGGCCTTTGAGAGTGGGTGGCAGCTCTTGCACAGTGCCCATCAGGCTTGGAGACCCCTCAGCTTTGGGTACAAACCCAGCAAGCAGCAGGAAGGCTGAGCCCAGCCTCTGACAGGGCAGTCAGCACTGGCTAATGAAAGGAGGGGTTCAGAAAAAATGCTGGAAGTATCTGTGCAAACATCCCTTCTCCATGCACCTCTGCAGATGGGGCTCTAAAAAGAGTCCCTCTGTTGAAGTCCTGTCTCTGCTTCTCTAGATGAAACAAATGGTCCCACAAAAGTTCACACATCACTAAACATCCCAAGGAGACTGAATTTCAGTTTATTGCCTTATCTTGGGACTTTTAAATATCTTTTTCAGTTCCAGCATGAAAGCAGTCCTGATCCAGAGTGCAGCAGGACTCATTTGCTCTCCTCTGACTTGGTTTTGGAGGGATCTGTGAGATTTTTCCAGGGACAACTGTCAAATTCTTCTCCCAGTCCGCTTGCTGAGGTGAGGCATTGCCATCAGCACTGTTGGCATGGGCAGGTTTGATCAAATTTGTTAGGGAGATGTTGGTAAAAGCAATGACCCAATATTGCAATTAAAGGAAAGGGTGAATACCTATTCCCAGAAAAGTCTGGGAAAAGCAATACAGAGGACTTTGGAAAATTTATCTTGGGAGTGCAAGCAGGGATTAGTATGCCTACTTGCTGAATTTTGCACCCAGAGGTCAAATATGGATTTTACTTGGATCTCTCAGCTTCAAAGGTCAGATCTGAATATGAAGCTTCTTTCTGCTTAAGGACAAGACAGAGACACTGCAGGTACCAGTGACCTGGAAGCAGGATTCCCACTTTCTACCATCCACAGAATTTCCAGAAATCACTTTGCATTACATTTTGGACTTAGATGCTCAGTTAATTCCCCACAGATCCCCGTTAAAGTGCCTCAGTGCATTGCCTGGCTTTTTTTTTTTTTTTTAACTTAACTTTATTTTTATAAACTTCTCAAGTTTTGACTCAGTCACTTGCCTGGGAGGCTGCTGTGTGAAGGTGCATGAGGATGGACTGGAGCATTTAAATGGAGGCCCCCAAACAGGAGCATTTTTCCCTTAATCTTCCCACACCACTGGGAATAATAATTCCTCGCAGGGCTGTTGCACAGCTTGATTCATTAAGGCTTATGAAGTGCTTTTAGCTCCAGCACTGAAAGGCTCTGAGCAAGTTATTTTGGACTGCTCAGGTGTTAGGAGGAGAGGCATTGCAGAAGGAATACAAATAAATCAAGAGAAACTGCCCCTTCCTTCCACGCATCCCCTGCCCTGCACTGCTCTCCATCACTGTTGGTGTCAAACAGTTAATTTACAAGCCCAGCACTTTACAAAGCCCCTGGAGCACCAATTGTCCCTTTCTCATGCAACATCAGCTCCTCCAAACAGCCAGCTGAGTCTCGGGGGTCAGCCTGCTCCTGCCCTTCCCAAGGCAACTCCTGGGTGTTTATTTTTGGACAAGCCAGACCCAGCATCACCATCCCCCTGCAGCAGGATGCACGGGAATAAGCCAGGGATGCTCTGAAATGTGCCATGTGCTTGGCCCGGGAGGGAACACTGGCCTGGGGAAGGTGACCCAGATATCCCACCCAGCCCATCACCCACCAGGGCATCCCCACAGCCTGGCAGGGCAGCCAGGGGCAAAGGAACAGGCTCGGGGCTGGGCAAGGTGAAGGCAGCAGATCCTTCACATGGCTTTTCTTCCCCCTCCCTCCCTCCCTCAGCCGGTCTCCCTCCCCTCCTCCAGTCTGTTGCACAGGAGCTGCCGGCCATGCTGTTCCAGTTCAGGGGCTCCTGCTACAGAAAAGATCAGCTGTTGGAGAACCCATGGAAAGCCCTGGGGGAGAGCCATGGCCGCAAGGTAATCAGCAGGCAAAGTTATTACCATTATGCTGCTAATTAATTCCCAGCTCATTACGTTTCCTGTGGCTAATTTGTACTCGCCGCTGATTTGATTAAACTCATCTCTATGCTAATAAATGTGTTTTCCATTTGTTTTAGCGACTGTAGGAAGAGAGCCCGGTATTTACATATTTTGACGTTTATCAAATAAAACGCGGCGCCTGAATTAATTCTGCTCTGATTTATAAGTGCAGGGGGGAGGAAGGGGAGCGAGGGGATGCTGAGGGTCAGGCGTGTGCGTGGCACAGAGAGCTGGGGGGGCTGGGGTGCTCTTCACATTTCATCCTCCCAGCCCCATCCTGCCCAGGGATGCTCCTGCAAGGCGGCCTCCACCTGCTCAGCTGCCCCCCTGCCATTCATTTCCCCTTCCCAGCTAAGTCTGGGGATGTGGGTCTTTGATTTGTAGGTACATTGCATGGTTCAGCAGCACCTCATCAGGTGGATTTCTCTTTGTCTTTCAGAAATTGCTCTAAATGAAGATTAGGTTTACACTGCAGCACCTCATTATAAGCAGTGACTGTGTTTCCCAGTCCTGTTCATCAGGACTCGCTACAGTAATATCAGACAGCTTGAATTTCTGATCGGGGGAGAAACAGACACCTTGCCATGCACACAGATTTATTTTAGGGATGTGTTTTACCCTCTCTACCTCAATAACTTGCAAGGCACAAAGCTGCCCTCCAGCATCTGCCTTCTAAACCCAAGACTAACTCTTAAGGGCAGATCATCACCAAGTGAAACTCTGCTCAGAACTCTCCTCCTGTTTCCCACATTTAACTGCTGCAGTATCAATCTTGTCTTCATTTGGGGTAAATCCTAACAGAAAAACACACTGAGAGTGTAAATCAGTGGGATTTGTGTGTTAGCATCACCAAGGGTTTGTGAAACCGAGCCTTTCCTTTTCCCAGGAAAACTGGCAATGGTCACCAAGCACATCCTCTCCCTCGGCATGTGTGTTCACACATGTCATCTTCTGTTGGTGCAGGGACATCTGTGTCACACGGGATGGAGGCCAGAGCCTCGCAGGAAGCGTGAGAAGGGAGCAAGGCAGGGAAAGGTTCCTCGTCTGGGGCTGGAAAAGGCACAGTGGCTCAATAGGGATGCCTGGTAATCCAGGGAGATCTAACCCATCCCAGTCCTGCTTGGTTTTGCCTGGAAAATTGGCTCAACCCAAGAGGGATTAGTTTTCCCTCTGCATGCTCACTTTGGGCAGGATTCTCTTGTTTTCTCTGCCAGATTCCTGCAGGTCACACCCTGGGGCAGCCCACAGCTTTCTGTCACACTCCCAGCAAAAGTTTCCCGGTAAAGAGGAGCCCAAACAACACCACTTCTCACCCTGGCAGTGAGACACCTTCCACCACCGCTGCTTCACCCCAGGCAATCTGAAACAGCTTCATTGCTTAAGTAACAATTAACAGCCCTGTCTTTTGGGAGTGCTTCTGGAGCGCTGCGCCTCCCCTGCTCCGGAGCCTGTGCGCTCCCCTGAACTGTGGGCATCCCCCAGCTCCTGCCCACCCCTAGCCTGCTGCCTGCAAGGGTGGTGATGGGCTGCACCGTGCTGCCAGTCCAGCCAGAGCTGTGCTGATGCTTCCTCTCCTCTGGCACTCACTCCAAGGTGGCACAGACACTCCTGTGATGCTGCTCAGGATGCACAGGATGAAGGTGCCCCTCACAAAGCTGACCCAGGGGAGCTGCCAGAGAATAGCAGGAGGTCCCTGGGCTGTTTTTAACACAGGTCCCCAAAGAGGAGCAGGCAGAGCCCTGCCTGGCTCCCTGCTCAGCTCCAGGTGTGCACCTGAGCAGTAGGGGCTGCCTCACCTGGGCACTGCCTTGGGCACTCACCCAGAGTCCCAGCAGCTCAGCATCTCTAGAACAACCAGATAAGCCATGCAGTGGTGGATTGCTGGACATTTCTCTTCCTACAAAACCTTTTAAGCCTTTGCAGAAGCGGGAAGTATTACGGACAAAAAACCCGCCTTGTTTCGCGTTAACAGCCTTTGCTTTTCCTGGCGAAGGTGGGACAATAGCCACACGCTGCATGGTATCAGTGTCACAAAGAACAGAACCAAAAGGCTTCAGCTCAGGACAAATAAAAGTAACATTGATTCCTTTTTATTTTTCCTTTTTTTTTTCTTTTTTTTTTTTTTTCCAGCTGGTATCAATACATTAAACAACCACGCTGGAAAAGTGAAATTGATTCAAGGCCTTCAGTGCTCCCTGCCAAAAAAGCCTCCTGCAAGGATCTATTCTGTATTGAATTACAGTCTGGAAAAGTTCAATAGGTTATTGTACAAACAGAGAGCAAAAGCCCGTCAACAATGGAGCCAAAGTGATTGTGCAGCTCCTTTGTGCTTGCCAGCCCCGCGCCCCTCACGAGCTCGGATGTTAAATCAGTTTAATTAAAATGGTGGGCTTCAAATGCCTCACGTTTTTTTAATGCATGTCCCTGTGTAAAGACATGTAGGCTGAGGTTTAAAGCTGCCTGCCTGCACTGACAGCCCCTCCATCCCTTTCTTGGTCCTAAACTGCAGCGGATTTTTACATCTGCTGAGCACTTTGGGCAGACGCTGGGGCTGAGCAGGATCATCAGCCCCATCTGAGCAGCTCTGGGTCTGGGCAGCACCCTCAGCCTCAGCCTCAAGCCATGGTGCGCTCCCCTTTGCAAGCTGGAGCTGTGCTTTGGAGCTCTCTCAGTGCACAGGACTTGATTTTGGGACCTTCCTGCCCCAAAGTCCTCCCTGGAGGAACCAGGTGCTCCCCAGAAAGCAGCAGGGTGAGCTCCCTGATGCTGCAGCAGGTTTGTTTGTCACAGCTCTCACCACAGGGTCTCCTCCTCCAAGGAGGCAGGAGACACTCGTGAGCTACATCAGGGTTTCTAAATCCCCCCTCTCCATCTCTAATTAAGATTCAAATTGAGTATAGAAATCATGTGTAAGTAAGATGCTAATTATTAAAGTCATTGATCTCCCAGACAATAAAGCAGCCTCGCTTTTCTGGCCCTGCCCATGTTTTGAGGCAGCTCTGAGCCCTCACCATCATAAATACCCAGGATAGCTGGAATCCACATTGGGGATGTGTGAAAATGATTGATTTTGTGGAGAGGCAAAGTCTCCATCTTGCTCTGAACAAAACCTCTGCTCCAGACCCATCACCAGACAACCCTGGCAGCATGTCTGGCTCTCTTGATAGCTCAGCTCCTTGTAATGACCATTAAACTTTGGTCCCTCACATCACTGGACATCTGCTTTTGCCCTTGTCCATCCTGCTCCAGTGCATTTATTTTCTCATTGGAGTGAGTGGGATTTACTACTCAGTGTATTTAATGGGATTTACTGCTCAGCACATTTAATGGCTTCTTGTTCCCAAACTGGACAACTTCCATGGTTGAATATCCTATCTAGGAGTTACAGGGGTTGGGGAAAAGGTGCTCTCAGTTTGAAAAAATATATTATTAAAGAATGGCTGGAAAATTACAGAGAGGGAGAATTCCATGGAAAGCAGAGCACAACCAGTATGGGGCCAGGCTGGAAAGTGGGGGGCAAAGCCACAGGGCTGGGAGGATGAAGGTGGCCAGTGCTTTAGTGACCACAGGAAGGACAGACTCACAAAAAAGAAAAGGCTTGGGCTGCAGAAGAGAGGAATGCTAGCCTGGAAACACAGAGTGCAGCACCACACTGCACCAAAACGCTGGAATTAACATCAAAGCAGTCCTGGAGCAAATGAGATTACGGTATGCATGTTAATGAGGCAGCAGCACTAATCAGCCAGGATGCCTCGCTGGGAGGGCTGCAGTGCCAACTTGTGAATTTTTGTTGTCAGGCTGGACCCAGCTTCCATTTGGAGTGAAGATTTTGTTTGGTTTTAAAAGCATCAGTATTTTTGTGGGGTTTCAGGCAATCTCCGATTTGATTTGATTTCTTCAAGTAGATGTCTGGCCCTTCAGGGTACAGAGAAGAACTTGGAAATGGGATTGAAGTGGTCCCCAGGGCCAAACTGAAAACCACTCCAAAGCCAAGGAGCAGATGAAAGTTGCCCAAAATGCATTTTACTCTATTTTAAAACATCGTTATTTTTGAGCC